GGGCGACGTCGACTGCTTTCCATTCTGTCCGCAGGATCGGGAATGTAGTTACCGGCGGCCACGATGAGAGGGTTCTCGTGTCGTGCCGCTTTATCGAAGTGGCGCATGGACGCCGACTGAAGATACTTACTGATGGACTCTAAGTCCAGGTCGTCATGGAGGTCGACGTTCCTGACGAACCACGGGGCTCCGACGGCTATCCTGCAAAAACGGGATTGAATGATTTGAAAGGATTTTAAGTGTATGCGGGCCGCGTGAGCGAACACTACACTTGCATAGGTCATGACGGGGCGTATGCAAGTTTTGTAGAGTGTCACCTTATTTCTAAGGGACATTTTACTTCGCCTACATATCATCGGGTAGTTCATAGCGGCATTATTATCGGCATTACTTATATGGAGCGTTGCGAGCAGGGTTCTAAATATTTATGGATATATATTGATAATGAACGTCGGCTCTTCGATCGAAGTCAAAATTGGAATGGAGCAGTCGGTGTCCGGGTCGGTATGCGACGCGGCGGCGTCTGCCGGGTAGCGAAGCATGCGTCTATCGCAGACCAATTTGGCACATCCGCCGTCGAGCGCCAACGCACTGACCACCGTAAATATCTCGTCCCGTTAATGCGGCAGACGCGCGAATACCGAACGCACAACATCGAGTTACATTCGTCTCTAAACGAGTACAGAGTCGGGTTTTGCAGGAATCCACCCGACCGGTTTTCGAAAAATAAAAATCTTTCGACGACCGAGCTTAGCTAGGATCATCGTCCGCAGAGCACGATTTAAGGTCCGATGCACCGTCTGTGTCGTTGTTGTTCGCGCAAAACTGAAAATTGCATTACCGAAAACATATTTCATTGTTCTTTGTTGGTAGGAATACGAGCGATTTGGCTTCTGAATGCCGACATTACGCAAAAACTGGTTTGCTTTGTTACCTGGAGCGGACCGGAGGGTTATTTTAGCGAACGGTGGGCGGGATCGGTGACGAAATGGGTTCGAACAATGCAAACACGACAGTTTCATACCTGACAAAGTTAAAAGGAATCGTATCTTCAAATGTTAAACGAGGCACCGGTATGTCTGGTATCTCTGATTCATAGAAAAAAAAATTAAGATAAAATTATGTTTTAAGACCATTACTCAGAGAATGGATAAATTTGTCGCGTGAATGTATTTCCGCTTCGTAGAGCGTCGCAGGATCCTGACGACATCGCCGAAATTACGAATGCATTATTCGCACAATGATAGTTTACAGTCAAACATCCGGCTTTCTGTCATTAATTCTGTGACGTCACCGACTTCCTGATGAGTACACATTTATCGTATGTTTTGTTATCAAATATCGTGTTAATTTAACGCGGTAATCTTTGTTATGTCGTATTTTATAGTTTTTTTTGGACCGCGTATAAATTAATCGCCTTTTTTAAATTTCGATGGGAACATGCAAACAGTTTTATCGTTTGCGTTTGACTCTCCAAGGTCCGCGGCCGGAAATGTCAAATGTGAGATTTCTCTTGACGCATCACACACTTAATACTTTTTTATCGTTCACAAAAAATACACACGATATTTAGAAAGTATTGTATATAACAGAACATCAACTATTAAAACTATTCAAGCTTCAAAAGTTGAATTTTATACAAAGGCGGAATGAGTTTATAAAAAAAATTCAGTACTTAACTAAAATCTGTTGTCATTCATTTATATAACTGCGCTACTGTATAATATAATATAGTATATTATATATGAAAATGTATAGTTGCTTTGTGAAACCGTTCAAAAATTCTAGCAGACTCAATTAAAACAGCGTGTAGCAGCAGCATAAGCGAAATCCTAGGCAAAGCATCAAGGAGATCGCGGAATCAATATTCATTTTCTCGTTGCGTTTGACGGGAGCGCGGGATTTATCGCGCACCCCCCGCCGGATGACTCGAATTTATAATCAGAGGGTGCTTTACGTCGAGACGTGAGAACGGAGGTCGAAGGGCGGGACACTTGATCATATTGCACCTTCTCACAAACTATTCTCACGGCTGCAAACAACAGCTGTCTTAAAAAAACTGACCACTGGCGTATCCGAATAATCATTAGGATTCGTAAGGGTTGAGAGCGAGGTCAGCTGCTCCTTATGTAAATGACGAAGCACCTGAATAATCAGTTAGACGATAGCGTCTGGGAATCTTTCACGAAAGTTACGAAGGTTAGGATGAATGCGGCCGCTGGGCATCTTGACTCGACCGTCATTTCCGTCCCACGAACACGTGCCCGAACTGGAAACGCATCTGCAATTTCCTGTTCAGTTAGCTAACCGTCAACTCAGATACGACGTTGGCGAATTCGCATCCCATTTACCTAATAGCTCGGCCGTTTGCGAAGTGTCCACCGGCGGATGTCGGTAAAAACAATGCGATTTCGCATTCACAACGAAAAATTTCGTAAGTTAAATTATTTTCTTAAAATGCATTACCTACCGATTCCGTGTAGACGTTTGTTCGTAAAAGTTTAAGCTTTGACGTTTAAAAGTTTTCTGCGTTTGAAAACAAAATGTAAAACATTCCGGCTTTGAGCGGAAAGGCTTCTCGAGTGGCGGTTTTCGTGTTTGCTACTTCGCAAAGGGAATGTAAGCAAAAGTTTTTTTTTTTTACAATTCAAGCACGGCCGCAGAGCTTCGGGTTCCGCAACGCTTTTCACAACACTCGCTTTGATGCGACGTTCAAAAGAGTATCAAATTTTACCTTCCCTCCTCCTTTTCTACTCAAAGCGGACTGAATTAATAGCGTTGCAGCAACGTAGACTCAGTTTCTGTTCAAATTTCGTTATGTATTTTGTAATTTGTATTAGACAGCGGTTCAGCGAACGCTCCAAAGGCATGACGACGGGCTGAGACGTGTAATGTCACCAGGGGACGATTGGTTGATAAGGTCAATGAAACCATTACGACGGTGCGCAGGCGTACTCACTGAAAATCGCCTTTGAGACGTCAAGGATAATCTAGTGTGAGGTCGAAATTACGTTGACCCGTTCGATAAAATGAAGGTCGAATGTTCAGCGAGAGTTTAGAAAAGCAAATGTATTTTATAAATTTAGGGTTCGACAGCGCTCAGCACAGGTGAATATGAAAATGACTTTGAATCCTAAAGGAATGTGTTTGTTGCGTGTCAGGGGTGCATAATGTGCTGGGATCACCTGATGGTGTAAGGGTGAGGCAGGTACCCGCATGGCAGGGTCATGGGGGTCGGAGAAGCTCGTGCGGGCCGGCGGACGCGGAGTCAGTGCCGCAGACCCTTGACCTGATTGCGGTGCGCACAGTATTGTACGCAGCAATGGCAGCGTTCGCCTTGAATCGCTTACATTGCCGGAGATATTCGCAACAATGGAGGCCAGATAACGTTACAAAAGTTTGAAAATCCGCCAATTCCTATCCGTCGACGTATTTAATAAAGGCGTTTTGCAACGCTTTTTGTGCGTTTCTTTGTTGATTTGTAGCATGTGTATTCGTAACATTATTTTATACATTTTAATTAATTTGTTATAACGTTAAGGATATTCATACATGCAGCAGAGATGTGAATTTTGTGATGGATGTGTGGAGTAACGAGAATGGATAGAATACGGAATGAATATGTCAGAGGAAGTCTGAAAGTGGCACCTGTGACAGAGAAGCTGAGAAGTGCGCGTTTGGGATGGTATGGACATGTGATGAGACGAAATGAAAATGAGGCTGGTAAGAGAGTGTCAACTATGAATGTGGAAGGATATAGAGGAAGAGATAGACCTAAGAAGAAATGGATGAATTGCGTGAAAGACAATATGGGTAAGAGGGGAGTGAGCGAAGAAATGGTATATGATAGAAGAATATGGAAGGAGAATGTTGCGCCGACCCCAGATGACTGAGAGAAGGGCAGGAGAATGATTTTAGGATATTCATGGTTGCTTGATATTCAGTTGAAAATAGAAATAAATATGTAGGTTTTGAATGAAGTGTGATTGACACATTCGCGGCTTGAATGTATTTTATTTACTTTTACTCTACGATATCGGTATCACGCACGAAGGAAACGCCTTGCTACATCTCTAACACAAAGATCACTTCCGTTTCCTGTTCGACCTTTTTATTCGTAGATAGATATTTTCTCACGAAGCCCGGATATGAAAAAATAGGGAAGAAATCATTGAATAGACCTGATCGGCTGTTAGAGATATCAGAACCTGCGGAGTCGTTTCGTTATTTTGCACAATAAGTGATTAGTGGTTATTCGAGTTACCTGCTGTAAATAAAAAAAAACTTTATATTTTAAGCTTCAACCGACTTACCGTTGTGGGTCTGCGAAGACGAACTTCCTTAATTTGAGATCTCTTAATACGATGCCCTGTTCGTGGCACGCCGCTACCGTTTCGGCCATTTGTCTGAAGAGTCTTCGGGCTTCGTGCTCTCTTAGCCTTTTCCTCGCCCGAACGTATGAATGTAGATCTGAATGCGACCGAGGGAAGATCAGGTACACCCTCTTATCGCCGACTAGGACTTCGTGAATAGGATTGACGTGCGGATGCCCGTCGAGACGGTAATGTGCTTGTAGTAAACTGCTGCAGTCTCGGGACACAACCTGTGGACAAATGAGTTTGAATCAAATAAACAATTTTTACTAACTTCAATAAAGGAGGAGGTTCTAAATTCGCTTTTTTTTAGGTTATTTTCTTGGTGAACCGATTTTTATTATTTAAAAGCTAATGCTCGGACCGGTAGTTTAAGAGTTACTCTTAATAATGCATATATAATTCACTTCGACTATATTAATCATATTTTATTTCCTCGAAGTCGGTTTACCTTTTTGCAATAAATTAGTAGGCATCATGACTGTATCATCGTCATGTTGATGATATGTATGAGCGAGTTTAACGGTGACTGTAAGGCGGAAAGGTCGTATAGTACCAGGGTCACTTCCGGATATCCTTCCTTCCTCGATTTTCATCCAATGCTACCAACATTCAACCGAGACTGATACTTAAAACATTCCATTAATTATATTTTCCTGGATTCCGTGAAAGCGCTTCGTATAAATTATGAAATGGATAACTCAAAGAGTTTATATTAGATCATCCTTTTCAAATTGGAAGCACTGTAATAAAAATTACGTCCTCGCAGTTTGAGACAGATCCGAAGGGGTCCGTATCAAAGAGACTGCGATTTAAAAGGGCTTAGTCTAATGTGAATAACGAGATTGAAACATTTTAGTGAATAGAAACGTCCGACCCTCCGCGAATCGTTTGAACACAATACTATGGTGACGACAAACTAGAAATCAAACGAAACAGACATTGCAGTAATATACTTAAGTAGTTTTCGACATTGAACAGACTAAGCTGACAGCGCTAAGCTTTCTAAAAGTTCGCCCGGGGCAATGTCGAGGTAGATCAGATCCGAACCGTTATACGAACTGACTCGATCTGCGTACTGAAACAAAAGCGAGTCAACGACTTTGCGAACGCGGAATCCGCCTCTAATCCTCCGACTCACAAAATGGATGACGAATCACGTCGGGGCGGGCCTTTCAACATTTCTTTTCGACACGCAACTTATTAATAGCGATATATGGTAATTTTAGCGCAATCACCCCAGACTCGTTGACGCTATTTTTATTTCGTATGGGCGTTTAGACGCGCAAATAAATGTGACCCAGTTGCGTAGTTTCGATTTGCGAAAACACGATGAGATATCGATAAGAGTTTGCCATGTTGACGGAGCACTTGATAGTGTTTAGCGTCGAACGTGGTTTTCGGGAGCTAACCTACATAACGTTATCGGATATTTGTTTAATCGCAAAATATCTGTTGCAAAATATTTAGGCAAACCTGCACTAGTTTCGTAAATAGTACATACGTTTCACACAACCTATGTTTAATATGATGGACATTACTATCGATATTTCATTCGAGTGTTTAACACAACATAGCATGGTTTATTTAAAATACCTAATCAACAGTACTCCTAGCGTGAAATTAGGCCTTTTTTTTACTAAAATACGAGTTGCTCGCATACAAATTTTATTATATTATGATAAAATATTAAAATACAAAATGATACGGTATGCGCATACGTAGTGTTCAACAAACGATTTTATTAGTTTGGTCCGGTATGGTTTACGATTTTGTTGTGTTCATCGACGCTGGCGGCTGTGGTTACGCAGCAATGAATGCGAACCGAAGCGCTCGCTCCGTTATCTAGTGGGGGAACTGAAGAGAGGGGGCCCCTAGCCTCGATGTGACATTCGACGATCAGTGTTATCAACTCGTCTATTTCACAATGTCAATGAGAAGGTCACACCTATTTTCGGCGCGACCTGATGCCGACCACGTGTACTCTGACGCCACCGTCATTTTGAACAAAATCTGGACTATCCGTAAAATTCGCTCAAGAATAGAGATGAGATCGTTAATCGAGTATTAGGTATGAATACAGCCGTCGCGTCAGTCGTTCAGCGGGTGTTGTAAATACGTTTAGCAACGATCAAGTTGCCACACTTTAACCTTGCCAAGTTCTCACGAGGGAAGTGCCTATTCTGCGCCTTGACAATACGTGTGTATAGACCTTTGTTTGTGGCACTACATATCCTGCACTAAACCACTTTAGCTAGCTTGAATTGTTCGTAATAACGACTTTTCGGACCAGTTTCGTTGTACAATCTCATGCTCGTGATTCATTAGAATATTATCTACCTATTAGAGTTATGGATGCGAACCGCAGAGTTGTAACCGCTTTATTATTGTAGCATTTAGCGCTTAGTTACCGTTAAATAAATAGCCGTTATTGTCATCGATTGCGAAAGTCGACACATGACATTGTAAAAACGGCGATGGCTGTGGCCTACAAGTGCGATCGAGCAGCGCGCGGAGGCCATGACATATAAAGTATGACATCGGTCTGAACATGATGCTACGAACAATGCGCGCGAGATTGACTGAAAAACGCTGTTGTTACTTAATTAACCAGTAATTGAGGTGCTTTATTCGTAAATTAAAGAAACATTTTACGACGCGTTACGTGATTAAACTTGTACATTGTAGATGAAGTATTTTTGTTGTTACGTCACATAATTGTTTGATCTATTGATCAATTATTTTTAAAACATTAACAGGATAATAATAAAACGTATTTCTCTAATTGACTTTTCGAGTAGAACATTTCTTATCATTTCGCTATTTAATAGGCGTTCAAAAGGGACACGACATGTGGGTATATTGACAATTTCGCTTATCGCGACATGGGGTCCGAATCCCGTGGGATAATCGGAACCCTTTAAACTGTTCAAAATCACACTTTAGTGAGAAAGTCGAATGTACTGTGTAGCTATAAATTAATTCGTGTAACAAGAGACAAATAGGTCGCACAGAAGAGATTACGCACTGTATCAATGAAACAAAACTGCGCAAGTGGTTTTGAAACGTCGGCATAATTTCGAAACGATACACGTTACGTATCCTAGCAGTGTCGCGAGGCTGTAATGGATCGTTCTCTTTTGTCATCCGTGGTCAAAGAATAAAAGAATGATTTTTCGAATTTGAATTTTTCGTTCGCTCTCTCTCTCTCTCTCTTTCTCTCTCGAATTACGTAATTCTAGACGTAAGTGCTTCTGTGGATGCTCTATACTGGTCTATGCACATGGAATAAAGTCAGTCAATGCCCTCCCTGTACGTGAAACTAGTTTGGCGAGTACGTTCTCGTAGGCAGGGATTTTTATCGCAATATTATCTGCATTGCACTGCGAGATGCAAATATTACGGAGTCTACAGGTACACAAGTGTACATGACTTTATATAGCATGTCTAATATAGATACACGAAGAAGCTTATTAGTTTTGTAATTATGTAATGTAATAATAATACTTTACAAAATTATTCTTTAAACCGATAATATTTTTTTTTATATTTACATACCTACATAAAATAAGCACAAACTTGAATATTTATGTTATCGTTGTACGTTAATTGGATAAAACGTTTGTGAGCCTTTGAAACTGGTTAAAACAAGAATCATTTATTTTAACCGCACATTCTCAAAATATCTTTAAAAACTTTGCGCGTCATTGACGATTATTCGATCGAAGGCCAACAGGGGATCTAGGCTATGAATTAAAAAAAAAACTGGAATGTCTGGATATGCAGGTGAATGCGATTAATAACGCTAAATTTGAAGGTACTTTAGGATTAATGATTTGTCGGGCGTCTACTAATACTCACCTTGCATACATATTCCTCTTGGGTACGCACGTCTACACACCGACATAACGAGGAACCTTCGACTTGTTCCAGCAGGAGGTACTTCTCAGCAACGAGAGCTGCTTGGAATTGATGTTGGGTTGGTGCGGGACTGGGTGGCGCCGGGCTCGGTGGCGCCGCGGACAGCCGCTCCTGCAGCCCTGGGGACTGCGCTCGGTCTTCAGCTTTACTGCTCTCTCCTGTACTGGGCACCGGCATCGTCACCGCCGGCTTGCTCAGCCGCAACGGCCATAACAACGAGGGTGATCCGGGATCCATCACAACACACAAACACTGTCACGTTCCACTCGTGTTCACAAAACACTAGCACAAACACAATACTATTAAGGAACTATGATGAGATGAACATGATCTGTAACAAACCGAAAAATCGACATTACAACATTTGAAATGATTCCGTCTAGGGGAAATTACGAACAAACTACGAACCTTGAAATGATTCGTCCTGAGTGGATATCGTACCAAAATTTGACTGTCCGTATTGACTCGTAAGTCTCTTTTTGTTTAAGATGAATTACAAGTGATTCCCTGTAATTCAAATACGGATAGACGGGCCAATATTTTGGGCCGGTGTCCGCTCGGGTTGAAGTGAAACTAAACGAACACACGTCTTATGTTCACTAACGCCATTGCGAGACTGACAGCGACGCTTACCAAAACCCGGGACCGGCAACCGATCCAATGTCCAATGTCGACACACAGTCAGCTTGCGTAGTACGAGCAACGCCACGCATTTTATAAACGTACCGATCCTCATATAGCTATCTCTGTCTATCTTTATATGAGAAGCTTTGAAAGAAAAGGAAAGAATGAGACCATTCATTTACGTTTGGAAATGCAATAGCAAAGACGCGCGATATTTCAATATTTTTCACAAGACTAGGTAATAAATGCTTTTATTTGATTAATTTTATGTATTTTTAATTAGAACCAAGGTTATAATGGCAGTAATGTGAATACATTCACAGTTTTGCTTGCAAACTTGCAATTTTGTTTCAAACTCCGACTAATTTCAATTTATTTGTAGCTACAGGGAAATAAGCAATCTTATAAATAGAACTGCTTTTTCTTCAAGGTGACGTATAAGAATATTCGCGTGACGTGTGAGAATTTCATGTTTTTCCTAATTTGGTTTCAGTTTACATGATAACAGTCTGATCGGCTTTTAATCTGAAGATACCGATATGCTCAAGTAATTACGCTTTTATAGCCTAATATATTTTTTCTTATTATACTTTGCGAATATACGACCTCGGTTTCTTGGAGCTACCATTAGAAATTCCCATCTCTTCGTGGACACTAATACTGTTTCCATACCTGCAAGTCCACTTGTCCTGTCTTAACAATAATATAGCAGTGTCAAACCTACCATGACATCAGACACGTGGCTGGGCGTAAAACTGTAAATCAAACTATAGTTTAAGTATGTGGTGCAATAGACCATTTACTAATGGCCATATTAACATAATGGTCAGAAATCAACAAGAATATTTGCTGAAAATTAAAATTGTACAATTCTGTACGAAAGAATTACCACAAAACGATTTCTAAAACGTTTTCTAATTAAATAGTATTTTGTTTTTCTGGTTACATAAGAGGAGTTCCTGTAATCGTACTTCTCAAACGACCTTCAGCGTGTAGTAACTTTGTTGTTAGTTTAAAATCATTGCACAACATTTAGGTTTACGAGAAGGAAATATTACAGTTGTTTCAAACCCATGAGAATCAAATTACAAAGTAATTAGGTAATTCGATATACTAAGTACATATTTGCTTCTTATAATAATTTGTTTTATTATTGGCAACATTTTTAGCTCTTTTACGATACAAATGTTATTATCTACTATTTATCTTCTTCTTCTCTCTTCTTCTTCTATCTTTAAAAATGAATTGTAGTTCGTTAGTCTCGCTAAAACTCGAGAACGGCTGGACCGATACGGCTAATTTTGGTCTTGAATTATTTGTGGAAGTCCAGAGAAGGTTTAAAAGGTAAATAAATATGAAAATGCTCGAAATGAAATAAAAATAACAATTTTGTTTTTTCTTTGATGTGTCCCCCGTCGGACGGATTCCTTTTGTTTGTTTTATGTTTATTTTATACCAAAGTTTAGGTCTTTTATTTATCGATTGAGGCACTACGAAGTCTGCCGGGTCAGCTAGTCTATACTAATATTATAAAGAGGAAAGATTTGTTTGTTTGTTTGTTTCGAATAGGCTCCGAAACTACTGGACCGATTTGAAAAATTCTTTTTCCATTAGAAGCCGACATTGTCCCTGATGAACATAGGCTACTTTTTTTTATAAATTATTTATTTTATTTTTTTGGTTTCAGGTGTGTTTTAATGTTTCCGAAGCGACTCGCTTCGCGGATCGCTAGTACTAAATAAAAATATTAAAAAGATCTTAGTAAACTTAACAATAAAAACGAAACAGCATGAGCCAAGTGTGAATTTATGTTTTGCAGACATTTAATTTCTTGACTTACATCCGATTTTTGCAATATCTCGATTGAATTTTAATTAATGATAAAAAATAAAAGGAAACGCCATTATCAGCCGTAAACACATTCACGTTTTATCTCTATCACGTTAAAAGTTGAAGTGTGAATCGTTAGTGGTTCATTTAAGGTTCCGTACTCACTGTATGGTAAATACGCTTTTTTATTAAATGTTGACCTCTATTTATAGATGTAACAGGATCGTCTTTGGTATTGGTCAGTTGTTTGCTAAAGAATGGCTTGTTCAGTGAAGTAGGTATGGTTTCATTAAATAAAATATAAATAATGTACTGCTGACTGCAATATTTGCGTTGTTTTTATTACAGTAACTATAAGATATTAACTAAAATTAAAAGTAGGTAAATTAATGTATTTATCGTGAACAACATTCAATGTCTGTTTAATTGAAGATATCGATAATCGTATCGATAAATTAATACGTAACGAGAGTAAACTAATTCTTCTTATACAGAAGCGGGAAATTTCTTTATAATAATATCATAAACATCAGAAATAAGTACACTTGGTTGTTTGTAACAAAATCAAGCAAACAATTCTAGAACGATTTTGATGAAATTTCCCACAATGATAGCTTGCAATCTGAGGGTAGAACAAATTTTATCATGATTATTAAAGTTATCCACGCAAATCAGATATGTCCGGTATATCTTCTATTGTAGTATAAATGCGGCAATATTTTGGTCGGTTTGGGATTTTACCTAATTGACTGTTCAATTACTCATTGATTACTTGCCTCGTGATTTTCAACCTACATACTGACGAGTAGAGATAGAGTGACAGAGAATGACTGAAGCAACTCTTTACATCAGAAAAATGCAACGTGCTTCTTAAGGCGGACCAAAGTGAGATACACGTCAAATATGAAATGAAAATGGCGGACGATCACGTTCTAATTATATAAGGTGACACGTAATTCGTGACGCAGCGGAACCCTGATTATAAACATCGTGATAATGTCTGGTAACATCACGTGCCGTTTTTATCGTGGTTAAATATAAATCAATGGTAGAATTATTATAATGATATGACATTACCGCTAGAAATACATTTTTTAATTTTTTTTATTGTATATATGGGTGGAAGAGCTCACAGCGCACCTGGTGTTAAGTGGTTACCGGAGCAAAAATCTATGACGTAAATGCCGCCATCTACCTTGAGATATGAGTTCTAAGGTTTCAGTATACTTACAACGACTGTCCCACCCTTCAAACCAAAACGCATTAGGTACTGCTTCACGGTCGAAATAGGAAGGGTGGTGGTACTTACCCGTGCGGACTCACAAGAGGTCCTACCACTAGTAATGACGCAAACTATAATTTTGCGGGTTTGAATTTTATTACACGATATTATTCCTTCACCGTGGAAGTCAATCGTGAACATTTTTAAGAACGTATTTCATTAGGAAAATTGGTACTTGCCTGCGGGATTCGAACACCGTTGCATCGCAAGATACGAATGCACCGGACGTCTTATCCTTTAGACCACGACGACTTAATTTGTTTAGAAGTACCTACATCATGGGAACCCGCAGAATGAATATAATCTGTTGGTATACGACGAGACTCTCTTCTACGTAAGAGTCGATAGATTGCAATGGCTAACTTTACAATACATACTTTTACTTCAGATTCCAATGCTATTTAGTTTGGTGGGGGGTCGACAGCCCTGTTCGAACGGTGGTGGAAGCTTTATTATTTGAAAGGCAGGACAGCTGCTCTGTAATATAGTTGAGACTTCGACCTATGTTCCAAGTTAGCTGGTGGTGCTTGAGAAGCTTCTCTCGAACAGACGCGTTGGTATAATATCGCTGAAAGTTCCAGAAAGGACTCGAAACTGCGACCCGTTATCTTCGTTCATTCATTCCGATGCTCACCAATTCGAAACGCGGACTGAGTTCATTAGATAGGTATAGAGATAGAGCGGCCGTCTGCCAGGCGATGCGGGCTTTGGTCGCGCCAATGAAACCATCACTCGATTTGTTCGAACACAAAAAAGACCCCTATCAACCAATTAAAGAACACACTTTTCTATTTATCTAATATTTACACTTATCAGTACACAATTACAGTGCTCCTAAATCGTCATCCAGAAGTCGAGAAATTTAAACCAAATCATTGTTCTATGAGACGTAAATAGGAGTCCCAGATATATTGGATCTTGATAAAGCGGCGCTTTTTCAAGGAATAAAACAGAAAAGGGTCAATCTAAAATTGAAAATCATTTTTCTTTATTTCTACCTAACCTGACAGCCTTGACAGCCGAGTAGGTGAGCTCACGGGGCTCATACCTGAACACGTTGCTAACTTTAACCCTAGCAAGAGCAGTGCTTCGCAGAATTTACCACCGGATCGGAAACGCGACCCACTGAGAAGATCCGGCGAGAAGCTCAGTGGGTTGTTAAAAATCATGACAAGCGACCTGATAGCGAAAAAAAGTTTTGGGACATCTGTTTATAGTTGTTTATGTTGCTGCTCAGCTATTAACCCGAAGATAAAAGCTCTAATTTTATTTTTATAATTATTTTGTCAATAGCAGCGTTTAGAGTTCTCAGATTGTGTTTAAAAGAAACAGCGAAAATTTACAATCAATCGGGCCACGATGGGAAATTAAGATAGTCCGAATTCAACGCCATAATAGCAAAGGTAAATTTCTTCCCCGACATAGCACAGGTTTTGAGCATACATACTGTGGTATTCTTATACCGTAGACGTTTTTGAGAGATCATATACATAATATATTCCGAACGGACCTAATTGGTAGTATTTTATAATCCGTGGTCCGTGTCACGCATGTTTTAAGTCGATTAATCTAAATCCTATTTTGTTTTTCATTACTAAGTTTCGTCTAATCTTGTTTGTAAAACTTAAACATTTTAGTATTTCAGTTTCTTTTTTAAATACAGTTACAAGACTCCACATAGAACTGTCCAAAAGATTGGCTAATTGCACAATTTCTACCTTAATTACGAAAACCGTGTTCAGTAATGACTCTTAAGACAATTGGTAATGAGCTAACCGTATTTTTATATGAGTCAGGGCATTCAAAGATCCCTTGTGCGATGCGTCAGTAATGTGCTAAATTATTGTAACAAATATCTCGTTCGTCATTATCTGACGTGATTTTATTACACGGAATTTTTCTAATGTATTATAG